CAAAAATCACTGAAATAAATAAATAAATAAACAGTACAAAAACAACATGACTCCTGCTTACGCTTCGCGTGCGGGGGTCATAATAAAAATAATTTCATTTAGCAGCACATATTTTTTAAAAGCTGTTCATGTCCAGGTTTCCCTCTGAGAACCAACACCTCTCCTGAGGAGACCTGGTCTGGTGTTTTAGGGTGGACCTGAGATAACCAAGTCTGGAGGTTTTGGAGGGAATGTTGTCCCTTTCTGGCCTGATGCAGGACTCCTGATGTTCTACAGTTCTGATCACCTTTTTGGGGATTTGTTTGGTTTCATGAAGCATTAAATGTTTTTCTTGGTCARACATCTGGACTCCAGGCAGATCAGTGAGGACAGGAAGCCTCCTGATGTCTGTGCTGCCTCAAGTAGGTGCATAAAGGACTGAACCACAGTCGTCCTCTTTGTCTCCATGTTTAAGGATCTTTGGTTCAGAGAAGATGGCAAAGTTCTTGGTGGTATTTAAATATGGCTTCTTCTCTGTCTGTCTTACAGGCAATGATATGTTGCTGCCATCAAACTCAAATTTACCTTAAATTAATTTATGATGTCTTAGTTTAAACATTTGATGTTTCCATTGTGAATGAAATGTTGTTTATGACATTTGTRAACCATTGCACTTTGTTTTTATGTACTTTTTATACAACATCCCAAATGATCAGAAATGGGTTTGTTAATAAATCTGATTTTACCACCTAGATGTTTTGCAGGAGCTGCATGGTGCAGAGGTGGTCAGCACAGTCGTCTCACAGCAATAAGGTTCTTGTTTGAAACTCAGCAGGGTGGAGTTTAAATGTTCTTCCTGAACTGGTGACCTTTCTATGGGSCGTACCCTGCGCCCTGCATCACACTCTTATTTTGCTAACACTGCACATTCATTTCTGGGTAAACAGTGTAAGACGTTGAAGTTCCAATAAAGGCATTTTAAAAAAAGGCGTCCRTGTTTGTGACGTACTGTTGTTGTAGTAATAATCTCCTCAGTGACGACCCTCAGAGTGTCCACCACAGAGATGTAGCCCAGCCTCCGGGCAATACCCAATGCTGTGTTTCCATTCTGCACAAGAACAAGCAAACAGGTCTTACCGTGTGTAGTCACGTGTGTGAAYGTTTGAGTGTGTGTCTACATACCACAGTGATAGCGTTGGGTTTGGCACCATACTGTAACAAAACATTAATGATGTGTGTGTTTCCCTGCTGCGCCGCTTGGTGAAGAGAAGTGTAGCCATTCTGGGAGGAGGAATACATCGATTCAGTTAACTGGTCACAATCAGGGAGAAGTAAACCTGTAGTTAGCTTGATGCACCTCACTACCTTGGTCTTAGCGTTGACGCTGGCTCCATTCTGAAGCAGGAAGTTGACCATCTTGGCATTACCATAGTGACATGCTACAATTAACGGAGTGTAGCCCAGCTGAACAACGACAGCAAATCAGATTTAATTCACCAATCAGGAACAATTTAGGTAAAAATGTTATATTGTAAAAGCAGAAAGTTAAATGAAGAGAACATGAAGATAAATGTTTATTAGACCTTGGTCTGTTGGTCCAGGTTGGCTCCGTTCTTGGTGAGGATCTCAGCAACACTTATTTTATCCTCCTGAGCCGCCAGGTGGAGGGCAGTCAGGCCGCTCTGCACAAGGAAGCACAGCAGGAACGTCAAGGTGAATRATGTCGTGTGAAAACTTCTCACTGCAGGTTTGGGATCACGGTTACCTTGGTGGGGACGTTGATCTGTGCTCCTTTACTGATCAGCAGGGCGGCCATGTCTGTGTGGCCTTCTTGGGAGGCCAGGTGGAGTGGAGTGACGCCCTGTTTGGTCAGGATGTTGGTGTCTGCRCCGTACTGCAGCAGCACAGTGGCTATGTCCATCTGGTTCTTTTTAGCCGCAATGTGCAGAGGAGTGTAACCGTTCTGTGAGGACAGACACTGGTGTTAGTGCTGGAAGTCAGCWGGTGTTTCATGTTGGGTGAACAGGTCTATAAATCTCTTGTAACCATGAGTATTAGTTTGTTTTCTGAGTTGGCACGATGTGTGAACAGTTTAAAAACCACAGCAGATGAGTGTGTGGACGTGAAGCTCAGGATGGAGTCAGAGTTAAATGGGGTGAAGGTCTCAGGGTTTACTACTAAATAAACCTTTTTTATTCAGGTTAGGGTTTCACTGGACTGCAGCTGCTGGAGATTTAAAGTGTGAGAGAATTCAGAAAAAAGGTGAATTTCCAGTTGAAGTCTTAATAAATTTAGAACGGCCTCCCTGGGTCTTGTTCTTGACTTGGTATCGCATTCCCTGGGTCTTGGTGTTGACTTGGTCTCAGCCCTAAAAATCTTGGTCTTGACTCGGTTTCATCCTCCCTCAGACTTGGTGTTGACTTGATATCATACTCCCTGGGTCTTGGTCTTGACTTGGTATCGTACTCCCTGGGTCTTGGCCTTGACTTGGTATCACACTCCCTGGATCTTGGTCTTAACTTGGTATTGTACTCCCTGGGTCTTGGTCTTGACTTGCTCTCGCCCTCTCCAGGTCTTGTCCTCGACTTAGTCTCGCCCTCCCTCGGACTTGGTCTTGACTTGGTCTCAGGCCCTAAAAGTCCTGGTCTTGTCTCGGTCTCGATACACTCTGGTCTTACCTTGGTCTCAGGTTAGGTAGTCTTGACTACAACACTAGCGCGTGGTTTATGAATTAGTATTCTGTATCATTGCCCACCCCATTCTGTACCCACCCTGGCAGCTGCCCCAGGTTTATGATTTAATCTGCTGCAGGCCAYATTTGAAAAGAAGACAGGTCTGAACCAGATAATATTTTCTTGTTTTTTATTTAACTTTCTTTGATGTTTCTGTCATAAGGAGAGGTCCTGATCAGATGTCAACATACTAAAGACTTTTCACTAACTGATCCCCCACAGTCACAGTCCAGTTACGTACTGACTATTTGACCAATACTTATAACATTTTCAGGGTATTCCAACAGATGTAGACTTCTTGTAACCCTGCAATAAGAAACCRAATGCTTATGGACACATTATTGTCTTCAGAAGAGACAGATTTGTCTTTTCAACTAAAACACCTGCCTTAAAAAAAGACTGAGGCTCATCCTGAGCTGAGCCCGGCAGACTCTCACCTTAGCCATGGTRTGTGGCGACGCTCCTTTGTCCAGCAGCAGGAGCGCCACTTTCTGGTTATCATAATGAGCTGCAACATGGAGAGGAGTGAGGCCATTCTGTTGGGGAGGTAGAGTGAGGATGAAGATTAAACAGCTGTTAGTGAAGCAGTAAGGTGTGGACACTCAGAAACACACATTGTGAGAACTGTTAAGACTTCAGGTACAAGTTATTACTGGGAGTCTGTGGGGGTGGGGGTTTATGATGGACTGAAGTGTAAAACTAAAAAAATGTTAATGTTTAGAGTCCAAACTTGTTAATGAAACTGAAGGATTATCTGAACTCATTACACTAAATGAATTCAGGAGCTTACCACAGCTCCTGCAAACAGAACCTCAACACAGGAAACCATCAGTTACACATGTGTGCAGAAGGACAACACCTACGTCATGTACATGGTACAAAGTCTGACTTTAGGTTTGATGCACACCTTTCCAGCAGAGTCAGGAGGAGCACATCGCTGCAGCAGGAGTTTAGCTACATCTAGGTTTCCATACTTGGCTGCCACATGCAGAGGAGTAAAACCTTTCTGTAGGAAGAAGAAGCCAAAGGACAAAGAATAAGAATTGCGTTCAAACATGAAACGCTCAGTATCTGCACCTGATTATTATTCAAATTGAATTATTTGTCAGTTTTAGGAGATCTGGTGCCTTTACTTTACTTTGCCTTTATTAGGGCTTGCCAATTCAAAAAATAAGAGCAGAGGAATGCATTGCGAAGCAAAAAATTTAAAATTTCTATGAGTAAAAACCAATCTCTTCTGTCACTCATGGTTAAAGAATTATTTGATTAGACATTATAGTTTTCACACAGCGGATGTTTGTTTGAACTAAACTTTTCAGAGGTTTGCTCATGTTGAAAGTAAGGTTCTGCACAGCTGCTCTGCCCCTCYCTGTAATGACAACACAATCTTCTGATTGGCTGAGGCTGGGGAGAGTATCCTTTGGCGTAAGAGAATAAAGAGGGACTTTGTGTTTTTCAACATGGCACCCAGATTGCTCAGCAGTTTYAAGACATACAAAGCTGAAATTTGGTTGGTTGGTAGCTCAGAGCTAACTAAAGACATGTTGGCTGTGTCTCAATTCATGGGTCGCAGTCAACGTCAGCCGCGTTTGTCAGTCGCTGACATCGCTGCCCTGCATGGTAGGCTGTCCCAATTTGTCTGTGCCTACACATGCGGCCGAAAAAACCCTAAAAACGTTGGCTGCATCTGAGTATCTTATGCGACTGACGGTATCACAGAATTCATTGTGCTGTCAGCAAATTAAACAGAAAAAAAAAAGACGGCAAAGATGTTTTAAATTGTATTTTACGGCAGAGTTTTTTTTTAATGATGGAGTTTGGGATTTTATCACGTACCAAAAAATGTAAGTTAAACAACTTAGCTGAAGAAACTTGTTGCAATGAGATGTTAAATAAAATGCAGTTACAAATACAGATACTGGAGCTAAAACCAAATTATTAATGCTTTGTATTTATTTACTTGTAATGCTTTTCTATTAAAACTGAATTTTATGAAATTATACCTTGAAAAAAACAATTGAAGCGATGTGATTATAAAACATATCACCACAATAACAAGGCAGAGCATGTTCATGCCAACTTACATCTTCTCTAGACAGGACTATCTCATTTCACAGTTGTTTATGCAGCTGACATGAGCAGCCTATGATCCACGTCGACTGCAGTCAACATCGGCCGTGGTCTACGTCGACTGAGACACAGCCTCTGAATGCTAATCACAAGTTTAAGCTAATTGCTAATGGTAATTTTTGGCTTTATTTCAGCYTGTAAGACTTACAGAGCTRAAAACTGGCCTAGTAGTAGCCAAGATTCCAACAAAGACAAATTCTGACAAATTCTAATTCAATTTAATTCAGTTTATTTACATAGCGCTAAATCACAATTGTTGTCACAAAAACAATAAATCTAAATAAGTCAGAAAATYGTGTTGAATCACTTCATCGCAGTCTCCCATCCTGAGCAGCACACTGGTGACAGTGGAGAGGAAAAACTCCCTTTTATTGTAACARGAAGAAACCTCCAGCAGWACCAGGCTCAGGCCAGGTGGTCATCTGCCTCGACYGACTGGYTGAGGGGCAGGAAAGTGACACAAACAAATACAGAAGGACAAATTCGGAATGCTAAATTAAAATTCAAGCTGGCCACCATAGCCGAAAAGAAAAATGGATCATAACTTAGTCGTCTTTATTCATTTATATTGAGCTGAAATTTGGTGTGTTGGCAGCCCAGAAAAATTCCCAAAACTATGTTGACAATAATCCTGCACCAAGAAGCTGCTTTTTATAGTTTCTCCAGGAACTTTTCTAGTTCTACAAATACAGATGTACAGAGAAGACGAGATTATTCATTTTTAGTCAAGATGTTTCTAATTTTAGCGGCAGGTGGAAGAAGGCGGTCCTGCTAACATTTTTAATGTGGGGGTTAAAAGACATCCTGATCAAAAATAACACCAAGGTTCTTTACATTAGAACTGGAGGCCAGATTAATGCCATCCAGAGRAGGTGAAAATTTGTTCCTGGTATGACTCAGTTGTCCTGATGGAAGTTGTGATCAAGCAGAAAATTAAAGATATTTGAGTTCCAGTTCCTGTTCAAGCCTGCAGAGGGAGCACTGATGCAGGGATTTAAAAAGACTGAAGAGGACCAGYGCTGACAGAACCACATGATCAGTGTGTTTATGGCAAATCCCTGCCCATGGAGGGAGCAGTCTTTTGTTTGATATGCCACAGATTCTATTAAATGGAATGAGAAACAACAAACAAACAGAAAACCTGCTGAGGGTGGGAACAGAGGAGAAAAGAGTGTAATGTGTAATAAAATGTTTGGATGTAAGGAGAGTACACGTGAAGACTTTWATGGATTGGTTTCTGCAGCAGCTCCAGCCCTCGTCCCCGAGGAGCAGCAGGATGAGACGGTGTGTGTCAGGAGCAGAGCTACCTTCTGAACTCTGAAAAACACTACATCCCATAATACTCAGCCTCAGTTTGTAGGAGGAAACAACAGCTAAATCCTGTCTGGTTGCACTCTCAGATATGCATCTCTACAGTCCTGCTGCTCCATCACATGATGACTCTCAGACTTCCAAAACCAGTGAAGGTTTTACACCTGGTCAGACACACACATCTGTACCTCACTGTTAGATCATTATAAAGTTCATGTCTGCCCTTTTATTTACTGCTTTACAAAATACATATAATCTTCTCATTCTGAGATACTGAAGGAATTAAACAGATTTTTACCTGACAACTGGCTTGTCTTTAAAACAGAATGAGCTCAGTTTGACCTGGAAAGAAGTTTGATTACAGTGATCGCCTCAAAAGGTCAACAWAATGTTAACTTACAGATACCATCATTTGTCTCCAGGCCTGTTTCATTAGTTTGATATTTTAAAACGATTCTGTTGAACCACAGTTCAARAACAATGTGGGATTTTATTAATATTCAGTACATTTTTATTCAACAGTACTTCTGTCACATTAAAAAGTATTTCTGTAACCATTGTGAGTTTTTTGGCCAATTAACAGAGAGGTACCAACTRTTTTGTCCACATGTGTGCAACTTCACGTCACACTATGCTAACTATGTGCAGACAGTATTGTGATAAACTTTGTTTCTATGTGTAATGGGAACTGCTTTTGTTTGGTTTTACTTTATCTGACTCATCAGATCCGAGTCTCAGTGGTGTATTCATTGTGTTCTGTCAGATGTACTGCATAAAACGGATTTGTCTAGGCAAAAATAAATAAATAAATAAATAAATAATTTTCAGCTGTTTTTTCTCATAAAACTAAAAAAGTTTTTATTTTTTATTTCATTTTTTTAAATTGGACAACCCATTCAGGATTCAGAGG